CAGCTTTATCTGTTGCTAAACTGGGCCTCCTTGCTCAAGGTTACTATCCTGTGAGGAGAGGTAGACATAAATTTTGTACAAGCTTCTCAATCATCACAGTTCACGCTTGGGCATTGAGGTTTTTATTGATGCTGTTAAACCCAGTAAGACCTCTCAGCTAGATCCTGCCACATACATCCTATTATGACAATAAGTGATGAAAGAAGGCGGGTGTAGGGATAAAAGAGGTTTGGGACATAAGCAGGTCATCCAGTCATTCAGTTTTCTTAGGTGTATGTTGCATGATTCAAGGATGTTAATGTTGCCAGAAATAGTATCTTATTTTGTTTACTTACGTATCTTTCCTCATCAGTTTCCCAAATGTCACCAAAATAAAATTCTTGTCTGCTTTTCTACAAAAGGCTAGGGAGAGAGTTTCACTTCACATCTTGATGATTTTCAGTTTTTACTGAGTTCTTGTTGAAGCTTTCCTCAAAAGTGTTTCCTTTTTTCCAGTTAAAGGCATTAACTTTCCTCTACTGTGCTTACTGGACCTTTAGTCTCTGCTCCAGAGATGTCTGGTTCTCCAGCATAATTTGATAATCTGATATCAGATGGCAGGAAGAGCAAAATATTTTGTTGCATCCCTGTTGAATGGCATGCTTCTGGTAGTAAGGCTGTCTCATTGCTCCAGGATCCCTGTGCTTCCTTTCTCCTAGTGTGGAAGTCCCAGCAAGAGATACAAACAGGAAACTTCCAAAATCCACTTGAACAGAGAAGCAATGTATCAGGAATGAGTTGTGCTTTAAAAAGCACTTCCCAGATTTTTAATCCTTCCTGTGTCTATGGTTCTCCATAGCATCCATTAAGGAACACTGGATTCATAGCTCATCATTAAATCTGTTCCTAACACTGGCAGCTGTACTGTATGTGTCCAATTTGGGCAGGTCCACAAACTCCTGTCCTGTGTGCCACCATCCCTCGCAGGTCAAACAGTGCTTTGTGATAATCTTAACACCTGTTGAAAAGGCAATGACTACATATGCCACAAGATTGTAAATGACAGTTGGATTAAAATACCCACTACAGTGAACCTTTTCACCTAAACAAAAGAAACTTTCAGATGAACATGAGTGTATCTTCCAAATTTTTATCCCAGACCTCTGCTTTGTCTTACAACAATGTATCTCTCTTAATTGAGTGTATTCAGACAAAGGAATTGCAACTCGCTTTTGGTCTGTTTGACAGCTCTCCTTTTTCAGTTAAACTCTGCCTTGAAGGTTTACTTCTTTGTACAAGGCCCACAAGATGTAAATCAACAACAATATTGTTATTGATGCAACAATGCATATTGGCATTTCAATTTTTCCCTTTGTACTGTTTTGCTTTGAACAAAATTAGTAGAGCAGGGGATGTCTCTTCAGTAACGCAAAGCATATTATCAATATTTTGGTAACAATTGCTGATTCTAAATACTATTTCATACATTACCAAGAAGTAGTTGAAGAAATAATGTCTAATTTATTAATTGGTGAAGCCTACTGTGTGATAATTGCATTGCATTTCACTTTCTTTTGTTGTAGAAGAACCATCCCTTGCTAGGCAGGATTCTGTACAGTGCAGAACAGTTCAGCTTCTATTAAAGTTGTTATAAAGTGTTTAGAAGCATGTGGAAAGATCACAAGATCAGGCAGGTCTGGAACCTTGATGCCATTATTAAAAATCATTCATCATGGGGGTTCTGGTTCTCCGAAGGAAGTTGTTAGGCACAAATAATTCAAGGGAATCTCATCAAAGCCCTATCAAAGACTGCATATTAGTAATCTGCTCTTTATGGAGGCAAAGACTGTTTAATACACTCCAGAGGCAGAAACAGGTCTAAGGAAGAACAACAACTTCTAATGAAGTTATAGAATTAAAACAGAACAAAAGAAAATAGTACAGTAAAAAAAGAAGAACCAAGAGCTTGATATTCTGTGGCAAAAGAGTATTATAAACTGTATGTGAACACCACAGGTCATTAATTCCTTGTGGTTGAAAAGTATGTAAACTTGGAACAAGTAATAAAACAGCCAAATCTATATGCTGATCTTTATGACGAGTGAGTGTGGAGCATTTCTAAATCATGTTTCTCTTTAGGTGACTAAACCAGTCTATTTCTATAGCATCTGCAATTCATAACAGGGAAAGAAAAACAGAAATAAAATTGCTAGGGAAAAAAAATCTGTCAGTTTTTAGCATCAATAAAGATTTAATGAATTCTCTTCCTCATTGCAATCAAATCTTAGATTAAGGACTGTATGGATTGTTTTCAGCACCTGAGACAAATATGGATGTTATTTCACAGTCAATATTTGTCTAAATTTTTAAAAACAAAACGTATGCTTATTTTTGTAGAACAGCTCAGTTCCCTCATGTTAGGGGAGTCAGAACTGGCTGTAACTATTGTTTGCAGCATAAATGCTAACTTCACCCTGGAGGAACGGAGCTGCTGCCAGTAAATAGCAGTAATTCCCTCCCTGGCTGATAGGAGAGCTGTTGAAGACTATTCTCTAGCAAGATGAACAAAGATGCTGTTAGCACTACCTCTTCTGAACTTTGCAGCCTCCTTTGATCACTTTTGTGATCTGCAGTTAGAGTTGTATGGTGCCAGAGAATGGATTTCTGCACACTGCCATGTAAACAAATGACCCATGTTTAGTTCAGTTCCCTTTAGTTCTTGTCGATCTACATAGAAAATTATTTTCTGCTAAGATTTGAATTTTGCTCTCAGCTGTTTGCTTACTACAAATGTTAATGTATTTAGAAAAACTTCAGACTGTTTAATAATCAAAAGTACTATATGCTCCTCTTGCTCTTCTGGCAAGCATAGCAAGTTGTATGAAAAGATATTTAATACATCTTTTAAATGCTTCTGTTTGTATATGCAGTGATCTTTCTCCAGAGGTAATGAGCTGTGTGTATCCTGCAAGAGAAGGTCAAACAAATAGCAAATCCAAATATATGCCAATATATGCCTTGAGTCATGCCTTTAGCTAAGTTATATGCTGAGAATGATATTGACATGTGAGGGAACTTTTTTTTCTTCTTTAAAAAAAAAAAGACATTCCTGTACTTGGTTTTCCACAAAGAGCTGAGGGTTTACTGTATTTCTTTGAAAAAGCATTTGTACCCCAACGGAATACCAGCCCATAAGTCTTACTTGATGTACTAAATTTAAAGTGCAACAAATGGAAGTAGGGCCAAAAAGAGTCTCCATCTACTTGACAGAGAAATCCTGAGCCTCTACAGAATATAGATGTGAAGTGGCAGCGTGGCCTAGCATAAGTGTGTGTGTGTATGATCATGTCACTAACACTAGATTTCAGTCTTTGCTGGGTGTCATTCAGTAGCAGTAATCTGTAAAATGATGGCATTTATTTTTTTTCAAGGGTGATGAAATTTAATTTGATTTCAAGATGTAATATTGCCATCCTATGTGTATTTTTGCACTAATAATTATGTTTTTGAAGATGGTAGCTTACAATTTTTACAATGTGTTACATTCTGAAATTCCTGCAAGTATTAAAGCAGCTGGGCTTTCACTAAGATGTGTGATACTGCTGCTAGTACTTTTGTGTAAAATGTTTTGTCAGTTGCCCTTAAACCTGAACTTACTTCAAATCCAAAGTAAGAACTGTCTAAATGCAACTTAATTAAATTTTTGATGCATTGGGATTGTCAGTACGACTACTAGGACTTTAGTACCTGAATAGCTGTGGGGATAGAAATATATTTTTGTGCAGCACTGTGACCCCACATAGGCTAGGAATGGCAAGAAGTATGAAGCAATTCTAGTTTTAATAAAAGATTTGGATTTTATGTTGAAAAGTGAAGTCCTCTTTGGATGTGATGCGAGCACTTACTACTTACGTACATCCCCCAATAAATTCATGTAACCATAGGCACATTCATTGCCTTAGAAAAAATTTTAAAATAGCAAAATACTTACTGCTGTTATTTCAAGGAGCATCTTGTTATTAGTTTCTTTACTCTTCAACATAAGTTAAAACATTTTTATTATTTGGTTTTAAGAGATTGATTTCTATCATTTTATTCTGAGAGGGGTCATACTCACAGCATGTATTCTGTATTTCTTTTAGACAGCGCATGCTTTATGATCCATAGGATTACACTGTGTACTTGTTCAATCAGGACTTAGAGATTTTATATATGCATTAATTAAATAAAAACTTCATAGGTAATTCTGTATTAACACTGTTCAAAAAACCTCAATGTAAGTGGAATCAAAAGCACATAAAATACCTAAAAACTCATTGTAACAACAATAAAAAATTGTTGGTGATCATATTAGATACACTTCTCGGCCAGCAAAATTTGAAAATAAACAAAACCACAAGAAATTATACTTGCAAAATTCTTGAATAAATCATTGCTACTGGCCACATAAAGCTTAAGGGTAAATTTTATTGTGGAGTTTCTGTTGCTTTGTTCTGTTAATACTGAGTTGTGTTGTTAAATTTGCCCCTTAGAACACTACAGATTAATGAAAAAATACTCTGGTTGATGTGTACTACATTTTAGGATTTTTCAGACTACCCAGATGTATGCCCATACATTTTCGGTCTGCTGCACAATGGTTTAGTTTGATGTTAGTATTGTGAGACAGTCTCAATGAAATCTTTCATTGTTTCATAGTTTAGGTAGTGTTTAATAAACATAAATCTGTGTTGCAACTTCATATAGCATTCCTGTCTGAAAATGATTCTTCCTGGTATTTCTCATATACTAGTTATAAGGTGGTATAACCTATAACTTACAATGCACAAGAAAATTCAGAAGTTATCTTGTTTGGTGCAGGTATTGGGCAGTAAAGAGTAAGTACAGATCAGTAGAGCAACCTGTATGCATGCTGAACTGCCATAAACTTCTGAAAATCAGGTAAAGACTTCGGATGAATATATAGTGTCATGCTGGTATGCTCCCTATTTTACATTAAAGTCCTAATTCTGTAAGTGTCCATGCTGTATACAGCTAACGGACAACCTTACACCGTTCCTGGGGTAAACACGGTGCCTTTGTAGCCAGAGATAGATCTGGTTCGTACGAAGTTCTAGACTGTGTGGCTCACGCTCCTCCTCTGTGTTTTCAATTAAGGTGGCACAGCACTCTTTGCAGCTTGTTATTTTTTCATACAAACCCCAACATCTGCATGCTTCATACATGCACTATGAAAAGATACATCTAGTGAACTGCAAACAGCTTTCATTAGCGTGTGCCTCAGGGGAGCTCAGGGCTCTCCCTTGTGTCCACAAGAGCCACATGGTTACCCACAGCTTCACTGGTAGGGAAGTTTATTGGTGGCAATATAGAGAGATAGTGAGCAAGCAGCGTCAGTTAAGATTGATGAAACAGAAAACTGATGGTCGGGGCAAGAACCAGACCACAGCGTTAGCCACTGATAGTTTCCTTACCTGCATTGAAACCTGTGAAAGCTACATGCAAGGTGGGTCTGACCATCTGTGGCCAGTGCCAAGGCCTATGCTGCTGTCATTGAGCTGTGGAGGACCCTCTGCTTGCAGATGGCCTCAAAACTGTCAAAGAAGGCACAGTCATAGTGTTGAGTCGTGGATGTAAGGAGCTTGTGCTTTGTCAAGGCCCTAAGCGTGTTATGCTGTCTATCACTTTTTTCTCTTCTCATTATGTTCCCCGTGTCTTTAATTTGTCTTCATTTTCCATGTTCTCCTGGTAGCTGATTTGGTAATGATCCTTTAGGTAGGTTGTTCTTCTAATTGAGGTATAAATGTGGGACTTCAGTGAATACAATCATGTAAAGGTAAACCTTGGACTGATCTTCTGACAAAACTATTTTTCTTAGTATCTTAACTGAGGAAAAACAGCTAATAAAGAATGGGGCAATAACAGAGAAGCAACAACAAAACACTACTGAAAAGACTATATAAGACATTGAGAAAATAAAGTACTTTATCTGAAGAAAGCTTAGATGTATGACATGCATGTTGATTCTCCTTTATTTTCTTTTGAAGGATCGACGCTTTAATGATGAGATTGACAAACTGACTGGATACAAGACAAAGTCACTCTTGTGCATGCCTATAAGAAACAGTGATGGAGAGATTATTGGTGTTGCCCAAGCAATAAATAAGACTCCTGGAGGTGCCCCTTTTTCTGATGATGATGAAAAAGTAAGATTACCTTTACTTTTGTATTTTTTAAATTTTTATTGTAACTCACTAGATTCTTCTAAAGATATTTAATCCAAATAAGTGAATGGTGCAGCTCTTGCGTTAATGATGTTTTTTTAGAAGTGCTTAACATAAAATGTACATTTTTGTTGTTCGCAACATAAAACATGTATCCGTTCTGTAAACGTGTGAGATCTTGGGGCTGAAACTGCAACTTAGTGGTCTCTAAATCTTACATAGGATTTTTTTCATGTACTAGATCTTGATAGGAGGACTTTATTTTTGAAAACTTATCTGTAAGCATAAGTTAGTGGGGGGGGATAACTATCACAGAGACACTCCTAAGCTTGCTAACTCTAAAAATCACAACCCTCTCGGAGTGCTGTCTATGGTATAAATGCCTGTAGCATATGCGAAAGAAACTTTTATTTTAGAGGAGATAATGCATGTGCAACTTTATGCTATGCTAAAATACAGCAGACTTGTAATGCCCATGAAAGGACCAAGAGGGTAGGAAGGGCACTAGGTGTGAATATGAAGTGAAATTTGGAGGGTAAAGTGAACTCAAAAAGTAGGAGACTAGAGGAAGCCACAAGGAGGGAACCTGAATTGAAGTGAGGAAAATAGGAAATGGCGCTGCTGAAGGCAGATGCATACCACTGAGTGTGGAGGCAAAATGTCCTTAAAGCCAAAAGATGACTGGGGAAAAGAATGGTACAGGGCAGCAAGCTGGGGAGGAACAGAACAGCAACTCTCTCTGCCCAGGAGAGAGAAATGGTCTCCTTCAGGCATGTAATAGGGAAATACACTTCTGTGTATTAAAATGGTATTGAGTCTCATTTTTTTGGTGGAAGTGTAGTTAGAGGCAGACTTTGCCCCTGAAAGCTCTTTATATTGATTCAAAAGCAATTAATATTTGATGTGGAGCCATCGCTTGTATATTACATACATGTTGACATGTCTGTGCTATGACAAAAAGATGTTAAGTAGTGCCTGTTGGAAGGGGAAAATCCTGTCTCATTGGTCCATGTAAATAGATAGAGATGATTTTTAGAATCAAGATAGCTTGACATGAATGAAATGCATTATAAAGCTAAACTAATGGTGGCTTATAAAGGCTGTGAAATACTACATAAATCAAACTTGTCTTCTATAGAAAACATGGTAATTGTATTTTGAGTACTACATGAAGTTGCTATTACATTATTATTTTTCCTTGTTATATACTTGCAGCAATACATATAGAACATCTCACATAACCATTTCATAGTTTGAAACAATTGTTTGGTGAGAATAAGAATTTAAATCTTTATATGAATGTATGTTAACAGCATCCTACTCTGGTTTGCTGTGCAGTGGAAGTAATTCAAAATGGATTGCCTTTTTGAAATTTCAGTGCATGAAAAACCTTTTGCAGTCTAGGTGTGAAAATTTTTGCTAAGTGGAAATATTAATAAGCGGGTGCATTAAAATCAAGAGTAAAAAGGAGTACTAATTATTTTTACACCTTGTATTAGTTAGATGACTTCCAATAGAAATGGTTATGAGCAAATATTTCTTTATTTTTATTAGGTTTTTTAGCATAGCACAATTTTGCAATTCAGTGGAGGTCTTCTAGCAGTTATTCTTAGTAACACCTACTTACATGTGAAGAACCAGCTTGCTTGCTGTGTACCACTGTTTGCTTTTAGTGCTTTTCCTAAATCTGTTTCAACATTACATTCTGGTCTGATGTGCTCGAGCTGCTTGTTAACTTCTTGTTAAGCTTCAGATTCTCATTAAGACCTAGCCATTTGGATCCAAGTTGAAAGACTAGACATGTTTGGATTATAATCTTCTTTAAAGTATATTCAACAAATAAAAGGAGTGGAGGATAAATTAGACTAACAGTAAGAAAGCTTATGGTTTGACAGACTAACAATACAAACGGCTCAGCTCTCCAGATATACATAATACCATGGAGTGAGCTTTTGAAAAAACTTATGAATGCCAACTAACTGTGGTTACTCTTTACACCAACATTATTAGTAATTATTTTTTCAGTTGCATAAAATTACAAGAACAATACTCATTGCACTGTGTATGTATATCTGGCATCATCTCTTGGTAGATGTTTTATTCTGAACATGTGTTGAGTAACAAGGAAGAAAGTCAGGCCTGTTGCTGGCAGGATCACCTATTCTAGCACCACATTAAAGACAACTTTTCTGTGAGAAGCTTATAAAACCTTCTTCCATAAAAAAATTATCTTTTAATTTCTATTTTTTACAAGGTGTCTGTGTAACTGATTCTGCATAGTGATTTATTTTGAATTAAACACCTTAAAAAATAACTCTCAATTTTTAGATGCTGCTTTTTCAGATATCTGAAGTGATCCAGTACTTCCTAATTTGCTTCTCCATAAGTTATCTAAACTTGTGTAACTGTTAGTCTGCTGTACTTTTGATTCTTGAAAATCTTGGCTGTTGAATACTGATTTATTAGCATAGAATACAAATCTGATAGTGTGTGCTACAATGGGTAGCCAAATGTAAATTAAACAAAATAAGACCTTCTCTGAATAGACTTTTCTCTGCACTTCTTTTTATTAGTACTATCTGTGTCTGTGTCAAGGGAATTTCGTTTAAAATGCAGCCTTTATCATGGATAATAGATTTATTTATCATACATTCAACTGGCAAAATAACTGTGTACATGTGAATGGTGTATTACATAAACATATTAATGTAAATGTTATGCCAATACTGAGGCAGGGTCATTTGCTTCCATTCAGCGACTGCTAAATATTATCTAAAATCAGCAAGTTGCCCATAATTTAATTGGTATATTTATATTATTTTTATAGTCATTTAGATCACTGTTATAAGCCTGTATGTTAGCATTCTTCAAGAGTATATTAAGTGGGTTATCACATGTGGAGTTTATGGAAAAATGAGAACATAACCATCATTGTGTCCTCTAATAGATCTTAGATTTAATGAGGCCTAGCAGTCTGTGTGCTGTTAAGTTTCTGCACCCACTGATAACCTAGAAAGCATGATATACCTCTGGGAAACAAGAGACACACACTTCCAGCAGAACATATTGCAAGATTAGCAAACAGCTTTTTGTTGGAATATCAGCAAAAGTGGTTGAGAGGAAAAGGGGGCAAGTGAAAATTGGGAAATCCTTTTCAAAATAAGAAAAGATCTACCTGGGTTTTGAGGTGGTTTGTGCAGAAAAGCCTGATGAGTAGCTGGCAAAAGACTTCAATTAATCTTTATGTTGATGTTACAATTTCTGACAATTAGCAGCTTCAGAATGGTTAGAAAATACAAATGTAAATTACTTCTCCTTTTCCTCTCCTCAAACATGTCCTCTCAAAGAAATGTCAATATTGTTTAAGTCTGACTCTTTGCAAGTGTAAATCCTTTGCACAATACTAAGAGCAATTAAAATCTGTTGGGTTTTTTTAAGCTACAAGACTATATTGTATAATGAAATGTCACTTGGGGGCACTACTGTCTTGAGTCAATAGGAAACAAAGAATTATGTTTTCAATTAGAATTAAGTAGATGCTAGCATCATTTTTATGTACTCTTAGTTATTTTCAGGAAGTTAAGAGCAAATAAAATATTTAAGATTTGAGGAGATTTTAATGCTCCCAAGCTGTAACCAAGTTTATATTTTGCAACATGTCAAATGGAGTATTAGATTTCAAAGTTTTTCTAGTTTTGTTTTTCATGGCAAATTTTCAAGTTTTTCTTTTACATCTCTGACCATGATGATAATAAGACAGCATTAATAATGACTCTAAGTGGATTTTCCACATGTAATGATTGTTTCCTGCTGTCAAATTTCTCCTGTTGGTGTAAGGGATGTTTCAGCCAATTTATTGTTTAAGTGCAGAACTAGACTTGACAGCCACTGGCATGAGAGAAAATGTTCTGCCTACCATTGTGTTTTATCTGCCCCAACATTAGTGGCTCATTTGAACAGACTGATTTCAGAGACTTCCAGTTGGATACAAGTGATAGTAAAATACCTTGGTACCTTTGTATAGCAGCCATCATTATGACATTATGTTGTGTAATTGGTGAGTTTTTGGAATAATAGGCTGGTGGTATACTTTTACATCTATCTTGCAAATGAAGATACGAGTTCATCTGCGCAGATGTAAGTAGGAAGATTAAAAAAACCCTTGAAAGAAAAAAAAGAAAATCTTGAAAAGAACTATGTACCCTGCATGCATTCCCAGTACTGTCCTGAAGATTCATTTAAGTACTTGTGCTGTTTGCTGGTGAGTCATACTTGTTCCAGGACTGGTGAGAAACTCAGCCTAGCAAGAGCTTGGCAGTCTGTAGTTTGGATTATTGTATGTCCTTTGGAGTCTTCTGAGATGCCGTGCCAAAACAAATCTAATCCTCCCATCGGAGAGGCTCAACAAACAGCAGCTGCACTGTCACTTAAACTGGTGTGCTGGTTCTTTCTGGCTCTGATGTCCTCCCGGCCTTATAGAAGGGAATTGACTGCAGGGAAGCTACCTAGGACAGCCAGCTTGAATTAAATCCTGCTTGATTTACTGAAAAGCAGTAGTTTGAATGTGGTGAGGTTGCTTCTGGGAGGGGGAAGGAAGAAATGGATTTACTTGTCTGTGCTCTGTGGATAGTTTTATTAAGAAATACGTATATCTGGATTCCAGGATTCTGCTGGTGTATATTTGTTTTGTGGGGGCTTGAAGATATTGTTTTCTCATGCTCCAACACTTCTATTTCTTATATTCCTAATAGGAGCCCTGTGATTCTAAATTGCCTAATTTAATGTGCTCTTCTTGGTCCATATTAGTTAAGGCTTAAATATATTCTATAGCAGGTCTACCATAGTGATGGATTATTTGCAGGGATTTTGCTATGCCTGCTAATTTGGTTTTGGTGAGTTTTTGTGTGATGGGCTTAGTCATACTGACAGGTAGCAATTTCAAAGTCAGTTAGGACAGTTTCTTTACCTTAAGTAAGTAATCA